TAACCTTTTGACCTTGGAGTTTGATCCTGTTTTGCAAAATTTTACCTAACTTTAACCTTCGTCATAACTTTTGAACAATTAGTGCTATGGCTTTCATACTTCACATGTGTAATCCTTGTGACAAGACCTTCCTTTGGATACCAACAGCTTTGACCTTGACCTAGGAGTTTGACCTACTTTTGAAAAACTTAAACCTTGGCCATAACTTTTGAACGGTTGGTGCTAGGGCTTTCATACTTCACATATGTAATTCTTTTGACAAGACCTTTTTTGGATACCAACAACTTTGATCCTTTGACTTTGGAGTTTGACCTACTTTTGAAAACTTAAACCTTTGCCATAACCTTTGAACAGTTGGTGCTAGGGCTAATTTTGAAAAAGTTTTGCCTTGGTCATAACTTTTGAACGGTTGGTCTTAGAGCTTTTATAATTCTCATATGTAATCCTTGTGACAAGACCTTACTTTGGACATCAACAACTTTGACCCTTTGACCTTGGAGTTTGACCTTCGTTTGAAAAACTTTAACTTTGGCCATAACTTTTGAACGGTTGGTGTTATGGCTTTCATATTTCAAATGTGTATTCCTTGTGAGAAGGCCTTTCCTTAGACACCATTAATTTTGACCACTTGAGCTTGACCCTGATGTTTGACTTGCTTTTGAAAAACTTTAACCTTTTCCATATCTATTTAGTGGTTGATGCTAGAGCTTTCATATTTCACAGGTATAATCCTCGAGACAAGACATTACTTTGGGTACCAACATATTTGATTTGCATTTGAGAAAGTTTAATCTTTGCTATAAGTTGCCATACAGGGGGATCAGTGTTTCACAAACACATCTTTGTTTTTGCATTATTACACCTTTTTGCGTACGCCTTTCATAATATGCTTTCGTAGTGTTCAAAGTTTGTGACATCAAAATAAAAATCATTATAACCTTTTCACCACCCCATCCATGTTCTGATGTTTTGAATGTTAAAGCTTTCCTCACACTTTATAAGGAAATTAAGAGGAGTTCTAGGAACGAGGGGTTTTTATACAGAAAAACGTCGTTTTATGACCCCCATTTGACCCCTAGGGTGAAAATGAAAATTCCGAAACCTTATTGCACATCTACAGCATACCAAAGATGGACTGTAAACAGTGAATCCCCAAGTTTTACAGAAGATCGAATGCATAACCTTTGCAAATCTCAAAAACAAAACTCAAGCACGGAAATAAAATGCAAACGGAACTAAGAATTTTATTATTGAAGAGTACATTAGCAACACGTTAAAACGATTTTGCGCATTTTAAATTGTTGAAATACATTTTAAAATCTTCTTACACAGGCAAGTACAATTGTTTTTGAAAAAGGGAGAGGGGGCAGCTGGTCGCTATGGAAAACGAAGTGAAAAGAAGTCGAATTTTCATTTTTTTTTTTTTTGTTTTTCAAAATTTTTCTTTGATAAACGTTGGGTTAATAGAGACTCTTTCCGAAATGCTAAATATATAATTTGTTTTAAAATTGAACTATCCAAACTCTAGATATTCGTCATTTTTCACTTTGAAGCGATTGTCCAATTAGCGTTATGGTTAGCATGTTGAATTTTCAGGCAGGCGACCCGGCTTCAATCCCAAGAATGTCCCGAGTTTTTTTTGTATTTTTTTCCAGTTGAAATATAAGTTTTATTTGTGGAATGATATATGCTTTTTCCCCGTTTGAATTATGCCATTTCATAATTTATGTTTTATCATATTCATGTATGAAGGAGTTAAAAGGATTGCACAATGTACATGTATTATGATGAATCAACTTCTTTGATGACAGAGAAGGGACGGAAGACCTTCTTGTTGCCATGGCAACAAGGTTTCCAGTTGTAACTGTTTTTCTTTCTTTTTCGTTGAAAATGATAGTTCAAAATACATATACATTTTCCCCCTCTTCTTTTACCTTTAAATTTTGACCTGATACTCCTTCTTTAACCAAACCATAGGTATTAAGCCAGGCGCGGATCCAGGAATTTTTTTTCCAGGGTGGGGGGTGGGGGGTTCCATTCTAGTCAAAAGCAAAACAAAAGAAAACAAAACAAAAACAAAAGACCCCCCACCCCCCACCTAAATTCCCATTCCAAACATATTAAACTCAGACTTCTTGATAAGCAAATCATGCAATTTTCAGAATGTGAAAAAAAATCTATTTCGTGGTGTTGATGATAGGGTCCACGTTTTCGGGGGGGGGGGGGGGGGGGGGGGGGGGGGGGGGGGGGGGGTGCAAAGTCATTTTTTATTTGCTTCAGTATATAATTTTATTAACTCTGCTAATTCCCCCCCCCCTTCCAGATACTCGTATGTAAGCATGCATTATTAAAGTAATTCATTTCATGAGAAACATGTATGCCTCTTTCGTTTACTTAACCTTCATATGTTTCAGTGTAAAAATTCAGTAAGTAGTAAACTATTTCAAACTGCTACTTTTCTTATAGATTATGATTTGAATGAAAGATAATTCTCTGAATAGAAATTATTATGTAACCTTAGATAACATGTATATTTCCCAACACTGCCTATATTTCAAGTTCAAACCTGTACAGCTCCAGTTTCATCAGAGACTTCTGCTTCTCCATGGAGATGTGTTGTCAATAAATATAACTTATCATATGGTCATCTATCTTTCGAATACTCTGTTAACAATTCTGTACATACAGTAAAGCCTGTGAAAATAAATGGCACAATGCAGCCTTGTTGCTACACATAAATGCATGCAGTGCTAGTTCTGGAAAGAGTTATAACATTCTGGATTCCATGAAATGAAGATATGGACCTCCAACATACTATTATTCTATAAAATGTTACAGAATTTAACTTGACAGATCTCTGTAGAAATAGATCTTATTTATTTTCATGAGGAAGACTGAATACATCTTCTGTGATGTCTTAAGGTTCATTGATAATCTGAAAAGAGAGATAACTCTAACTGGTGTAATTGACTATCATTCCTTTCTAAAATTCTCATGGTAACCGTCCATTTCTGTCAAATTTTGCCCCACAAGGTATGCGGAAATTGTGTGCATTTTAATCATAAACTAGATTTCTTTTGGATAATCATAAGCATCAACGAAAATGGGAGAAGAAACAATCATGTTTTACCGTGAAAACACATACATTCATACAACTTTCAATAACTTGACAAAATCTTGAAAATGATGAATGATGAAAAAAAATATGAGATATACATTTTTTTATTTGATAACCATAACAATTTCGGTGACTTTGGATTTCATAAACTTTATGAAGTAAGCAACAATTATAATCATTCATTTCTCCATCAAAATAGATTAAAATTATCCATTAAAATAAAACAAATACATCTTTATGATGCTATGTAGTTAATATAAATTTTACAATTTTGTCTCTATTTTTCATAGTCGTTAAAATTTTGTTCTCTGTAATTTATAGAAAGAAAAGAAGATTTTCTAACAATTGCCAAGTTATAATTTTGTAATATTTAATGTTATAAAATTGCTAAATGGATGTATAAAACGAATTTCACTGTCTGAAATATATGTGTATAGAATCTGTAATCCAAATTATTTAACTTAAACAATAGTCCTTGAGCTAAAATACATGTACAGTGTGTCAAACAGGACCTTGAAATATCTTTTAAAAAAAAAAAAAATGAAAATAACCATATTTCAAATTAATTAAGTACATGATGAATCTCTTTTAAAATAGTCCAAGGCATTAGGACAATACATGTGGGCAATATTAAGTACAAAATTTGGCATTCATTAATTGTACACAAAAACTATTGAAAGGGGAAAAAGGCTTTACTAAAGGTGAGCTAAAGTTGCAGAAAAAAAAAGAAAAAAAAAGGATAACATTGATGCATGATTTTGTAATGAGCAGGATGGTCAACAGAGACATTGTATGGTATATATATATATGACGATGAAATGACCTTCACCACAAGGAAAGAGAGAGAACTCTTTATGAGACAAGATGTACATTGTAACAAATGTAACAAGTTTACTTTGTATAACATGATCTTTGTTTAAACATGTACAATTACATACAATTCTACATCCTTTCAAAGAAAATGAATGTGCATGTAAATTTCATGTTAATACAAATGAATAATCAATAAAAAATAATGTTTTGATTCAAAAAGGAGTAAAACAAGTACTTTTCCTTCCACAAGTTTTACATTTTTTTCAGTGTGAATAAAAGCTGAAAGAATTTTTAAAATGTGTTACTTTGCACCTTATATTTAACATGGTAACTTCTTCTAGTCACAATAAAAGTCTTGGTACTATAGTCACTTCAACAACCAGCATAGAGCAAAAGGAAAAAAAAGACAAGTAAAAAAAGTTGTTAAATTCTCTCTGGATATTATTTTTGCTTTAAAAAATGGATGAGAAAAAGGGTAGTTATATTATTTTTGCTTTAAAAAATGGACAAAAAAGGGTAGTCATAAGACAGAAAAATAAAAGTTTATATTCTCCATGTATCTTTACATTAAAATCCGGCCATTATAAAAAATTATCAATGATCATATGATTGTATTCTTCTATGAATCATACACCCGGTACTCTTACTTCAGGGAAAAAAAGGAAACAAAAACGAGACAAAAAAAGAATGTGAAAGTAGATGTTTTTGATCCACCCCCCAAAAGTTCTGGGTGAGTGATATACTTCTCTTCTGGTCACCCTACCGGGTGGCATTTGAGATCATACAATTGTAGGTTAATTAACTTGCAGTAGATTCACAACTTTACTGTTACAACTACAGCTAATTCTTCATGTCTGATCATAGCATACGAGGGTTGTCCGGTAAAATCATGGACATCGCATATATATAGCTCCTTAAAAAAATAAAATGCTAAACATTGCAACCTTATAAAAAAAATATTATCTAAAATATAATGCTCTCTGAGTTCCTGGAATATTCTTGTTCAATAATCTGATGAAGGAGGAAAAGAAATTTGATATATATCACATGTTTGGAACCACCATTATTGTTGTTTTTTTGATCTTCAGTGACAATGTTCATTGACGTCTACCACCACGGCTCGCTTCCAACCAAAGAAGAAATAGCCGGCTCCCGCTCCGAGAACCACGGCTAAGCATAACCAGACGTTGTACGTCATGAAGACAAGCATAAGGCAATAGCTTATAAACACTTGTACGACATGGAGAAGTGTCTGTATCATATGTGAACCACTGATCATGGTCATTCTGAAATGTAAGAAGAAATCTTAGATTATACATTAAAAAAAAATAACAACAATGTATATTTCATACAAAATGTCACAGCAGTACTATGTATAACTTAATTAACATGTATACTGTACATCTATTAGTCAAAAATACCAATCCAGAGATATTGGATTCTATAAAATATTTCAATTTGAGAGTTTGTGCCCATTAAACCACAAAAAGTGAGTTTTAGATTTGTCCTTATGCAATACTCTCAGAATGCTTGTTGTATTTGACATACTATATTACATGTTTTGAAGTGCAGTTTTCTCTCAATCTTTCTCTTTATTCTCTGCACTAAAGTTCTTCCAAATTTCTCTTCAAACTCTTGGGATTTTTTTTTTTTACAATTATGTTAAAATATTTATAGACCTGATGTAGTTTATAGCCTCCTTTGCAAAGGGTGTAACTTTCATGTCACCTACATCATTGTATATCAGTCAAAGTAGCATTTGAATGTAATGGACATGTTTGTTTTCAGAGCTTAAAAGCAGTTTGGATAAACTATGAAACGGTACAGATTAAATGACAAATATGTCATGAAATTCAGAGCCTATTTTATGATTCTGACAAATCTTAACATTAGACTTTTCCTTAAACAAGACAATTGATAAACTTAAAACAGTTTCTCCTATAATGCAGTTGTTTTACTTATTCAACTTGGGATTTTTGTCAGTGTTTATGCTTGTACTCCAAGTACTCCAAGTACAACTGATAAAATTTAATTGTTATAAAAAGGAAAAAAAAAAAGAAAAAGAAATTAAACCTAAAATAATTAAGATTAATTCTGACAGACATTTATAACAGTATAAACAAACAAGATTGACTTTGATTAATATTTTTTGTTATTAATGTAAATAATAAACATGCATACAAGCAAAATAGCTAAACCACAACCATGCAGGGTTAGATACCACCACCAAAAGGTTAAATACAACACATGCTAGTACATGTCACCATGCCTGTAAAGAAATTATCCATGCAGTTCTTAATTACATGAAGTCTTATGTATTCTTAAGATAATTCTGTTTAAGAGATATTAGTTAACAAGATTCATAACCTGTCCACATTCTAAATGTCTTTGAAAATGTGAACTTTTCCCCCCAAACATTCTTGTACAATTCACTATGTAGGCTATATAATATTCATTGAAACTGGCACAACCTTAAAATTCTGTCAAGTATCAAATTATAATCTCCAAAACAGTCCAGAAAACTGACTTGTAAATTCAATTTCAAAGGGTCAGAAGTCTGTTAATATTGGGCAATATCCCTTGAAACCAACTTGTTTTGAAGCTTATTGTTATGAAGTCAGATGCCAAATTTTATCTTTTTTGAATCACAGCACATGCAGAGCAAGCTCACAAAATGGCCCTTTCTCTGTGTCAGCTATGAGCTTGAAATGTTCCTCCCTTACAAACCTATGGACTGGATGTAAAACAAATTTAAAACCTTTTTTGCTTTCTTTGACCTGTGACCCTTGTAAAATCTTTAGCTCATAAGCCACCTTTTCCTCACAATGGGCTTCATATATTTTTCCTTTACAAAAAAATGGCTTTTCAAGGAATTATACTCTTTCAAAAGTCAGTGATGATGAACTTGTCCAAATGACATCTTGCCCAAATGACCCTGGATAAAAGTCTTGACATTCCCTAGGATCATATGCAATTTTTAATGTATGAACATCCAACGTCTCTCTCTTACAAAGTGACCTTATGTTTATCAATGACTTGAGTCATGGTCAAGGCACATTTTAAGGTGATGAGCAATCTTTTTGCTTCTATGAGCTTTCAACATTTCTCCACTTCAAAATATGGCCATGTAAAGAATAATACTTTTGTCTACCAGGGTCCTTTCTCCAATAGAAAGTTATTGACTGGATATGAATCATGCATTTTTCTGCCAGTGACATTGAACTTGTCCAAATGATTAGGTTAGATCAAGACAAGCCAGGTACATTGTTTGTAGGGATCGATGGACAGACAAAGTGATTCCTATATCCCCCTTCCCTCAACTGTGCTTTTGAATGGTATAGGAGAAAAAAATGAATTGTCTGCAGATGGATAGACAGACTGACTGCCAGACAGATAGATGGACAGACAGTGCCCTACCATATTACATCTGTCTTAATATAGGCATACAAAAATCATTTTTTCTACCTTATCCATCCAAAACCACAGAGAAATAGTACAGTGTATATAAACTTTCCATATCTATATCTAACCAATACCCTAGAAAAGAAGAAAATTATATGCAGATCTTCTTAAAAACAGCTAGTACCCTTGTCCTTTAGGGATTGTTGTCAAAATAAAGATCAAATACCAGCACTTCCACTGAATCAAGCAAATTAAGATTTAAGTTAAACCTTCATAAACGATATGTAATAGAGAAATTTGTATATATTTACAGTATATAAATAAATATGTTTAAAATTAGAAATTAAATATACTAAGTGCCAAATTAAAGTCAGACTACAACAAATCCAGGGCATACCTGCTATGTAGAATAGACCTACTGAACACCACCTCCTGACTGTTAAAAAGAAAACAATTTACATGCAGCAGTTTTATATCTTTCAATGTCTTTCAATGTCAGTAGAAGCCAATGTTAGTGAAAATTGAAACAAAATTAATAATCCAACATTCTGTACAATTCTTTTTCCCTTGGCTAGTTCAACTATCAAATTTGCAGTCAGAGCTTGAACTTAATTTCATATAGAAAAAAAGAATACCAAAAGAATATTTTTGAAATTATGTTAATTTTAATAACTCAAAATGCTAAGAACAGACATTTAGCACAGCAATTCTGAGAAGCTTCTAGACTACTCTGAAAGCTTCAGCAGTTACCTTGATGTACATTATTGTACATGGCAGTAGGAATATATAGATTACTATATAGATTACTATAGTAAACATAGATACTATATGCTTATGCCCCCTCAATAAAATCGCCTGATTTTTTTTTTTCTTTTTTTTTTTTTGCTTGTCAGAAAATTTTTGGTAGTGCCCCCTTAACTGTCAACTGAAAAATGTTTGGCTGTGCCCCCCCCCCCCCCCCCCCAACTGAAATTGCTTCCCACGGGCCTGTTGTAGCTTTTATGAGTAGTAGCTTTCTAAATATAAAAACTCTGTGAGAAGTAATGGCTTAATATTAAGCAATTTTGGTCTATGATCAATGGAAAATTATTATGTCTGTAATGATATTCATTTTATCCTCCCTGTTACATTGTATGAATACAGAAATGGCTCTTTTTATGCTGCAGTCATGCACAATGATTTTAATTTCTAGTACATAACCTAATCTGCTTGAGGCAAGAAATTTTTGGAACATGGAGGTAGAACCTTAACACACCAGGATAAATATATCTAGCATGATATAAAAGCAGATTATTCAATGAAGGTGATAAAATTCACCCGATTGACTGCTTCTTCTCTGGCTTGTAATCTACAGGAGATAGTCCATTGCTGAAAATGTTTTGAAATTTTACAAAAACAAGTTTAGTGAATTTGGAAATGAAAAATGCAGGTTTCTACATAATTCTCTGATTATGAAGTAGACATGTTGACTGTAGTAGTTTATTGATATAATTTGTTTGAGGTATCTGTGAAGCACAAGGTCTCTGGGCATATGAAGATCTAAAATCAATAATGGTATCTTAATGTTGGAACAGTTCATGGTACCTACTCATGTTATTTAAAAAAAAAACTTTTTAAGTTTTGAGGGAAAATATATTTATTTAATAATTTTAATAGTTTTTTCAAGTTTCCTGAAACACATTAATATCTACAATATACATGTACTGAATAAATTGTTTTAATAAAATACCCAGTGTGTTCTGAATCAGAATTATACTTTAGTATCAGAATATTTGTACAAATATATAGAAAATATTTAGAAGAAAGTTCCTATCTATGTAACATTTTTATTTTCAAGTTGCTTGGGCTGTCTGCAAATTTTTAGCAACCAGCAGCTGCATGTTAATGTGAAAAGAGCCATGCTTATAGTACATATATGTACCAACTCCTAAACTGCAACATTGTTGTAGCATTTTGTTCAATTCTAGCTATAAGCATTCAACATCTTCAGTTTCATTTTGAATTCATAATTTTTTTTCCATGAACATGTACATGTCTCATGTACATGTATTAATTCTGAACTGAAATGAGGTGCATGTTGTTGTTTTTTTTTTTAATTTATTTTTCAATTTAAACTTCTGAAAGGAAAAAAAATAGCAAAAAAATACAAATCCTCAGTCAATTTGCCCATATTGAGTGTTACCTACCTGTTTTTGACTTGTGCATCTGGAACAATAGATTGTCCACTGGTCCCTATGGTAACCTCTTGGTACTTAGAGCCTGTGACCAAGGCTCTCTTGAGGAGGTACTCCCTGAACACCTTAAGACCCTCATATAGAACTGCTAGTAAGAATATAATGATACAGGCAGCAACCATACCTACAAATGTTTAAAATTATTGAGGTTTTGCACCAGAAATTGCTAGGCAGACAGTGAATCATAATTTGTGCTAGTTGTCCTTTTTGTTTAGTTTTTGCAACCAAAATTAATGACTCCCATCTGAACAAGAAAATCAAATTAAAAAATTAACATCAATAGATAAAATTAATCATTCAATTTGTAAAGTAACATTAATTATTTTGACCTTGACTTTTTAGGAAGTTACCCAAAAATTGGTAGGTTTCTCCTTTGGCAATCCTTTACATTTTTAGTAAATATGAATGTCTTAGCTAGAAAATATCAATTTTATTACATTAAGTAAATGTGTCATGGGCATTGCAACTATCCTAGTTTGGGTCCCACTAGTATTCATTTTAGAAGAGTGGACAGGAATAGCCAACATCCACTACATGGATGTAGGCTATGGCTGTTCACTTCTCTAGAGAGAATACCATCTTCCACTTACCGTTATGTAGTACATATAAAGTCTAGTTTATATTGTACTTTTTCATTTCAAGACATTTTCCCTTACCTGCCACCGTTTTGGTCTGTACCCCCTCAAACAGTATATATTCACATTTTCCAGTATGGAAGAACATCTGAAATAATTTAACAGAAGGAATGTTGTTATTGTGGTATCACTTCCAGTAGCTTAAATTCCGAAGAGATTATCCCCCTCCCTCCAAATACCTTACCCCTAGCGTCAAGAGATATTTGACATACGGAAACTGTTCTCTTGAATTTTTTACATGTGCAGAACTTTATGTGTCTGTTCATTACATTGATATTTATCCCTCTACTGCCAAACATATATATCTCCTGTTTTTTCCCCCATAAAACACACACACAATATACATGTGTATATGTATAAGGAGTCCCCCCGAAATTACATCTAATCTCTGGCAGGCATTTCTTGCCTTAAAACACATCATATCTCACTGTCAGGTGTTATTCTTGCTAAAAACACACCCGTTTCAGGTATTTGTCTCCCTTAGAATCTATCTCTCTTAAGTATACATATTCCTAAAATTAATTTCAAAACCCTCATGAAAGCTCACTTGGTAATTAAAGCACTTGCTCTGTGATGGAAAGGTCCTGGGTTCGCACCTCAGCCGTGATAAATAAACTTCAAACTACAATCAATCAATTAATCAAGATTTTTCCTCTCTTAAAGCACATCTACCTCAGGTATTTCCATAAAAATATATCTATCTCAAGATGTTTTCCACCCTTAAAACACACCAATCTCAGGTGTTTTATCTCCATAAAAATACATCTATCTCAAGACATTTTCTTTCATTAAAAGACATTTATTTCAGGTTTTTATCCCCCCTAAATATACATCTATCTCAAGATATTTTCTTCCCGAAAACATTTTAAAAAAATATTTTCCTCCATAAAAAGTGTGTTCCTCCATAAAAAGTGTTTTCCTGCATAAAAACACATCCTTCCTCTCTAAAAACCTTATGTATCTCAGGTATTTTCCTCCCTACAAGTACATACTTACTGCCATTCCATTACCACAGCCATCAGTATTATTCATGTCCATATGCATGCCTTCATGGCCACCCATGCCCCCGCCCATCCCTCCATCCATGTTATGACCACTGTGGTCCATGGTCATTCCCGTCATCCCCGTACTACCGTGCATGTTGTGGTGGTCATGACCAGTCATTCCTGTCATGTTCATCATTGACATGGTTGTCTGCAAAGATAACAAATAAGCAGTTCAAATTACTTTCTGGTTTTTTTTTGTCATTTAGTCTCTGTCAAAGTCAGACTGTTACTGAAAATACTATCAGAGTTGTTGAAATTCTCCAGGAAATGTTCTACGGAGAAACCATAAAGTCTTAATAGGTCCTTATCAACATCAATGTTCCACTCTGCATTTGTATTTCATGCATAAAAATATATATGCAATGGCAAATATACTAGCTAGCTTTTTACTCAGTGTGAGTATATGTGTATATATATCTTTTTCAAATAAACTGAGATAAAGATAAGCTTCCTTGATTCTATCAATTCAACCAAACTTCTTTTTTGAGCTTCCAAAGGAAAGAAGAAATATTACTGGGTACATGGTCATAATGAAGAATTTTATCAGTTACAATTGGTATGAGAATTTTCAAAATAAGGGAAGAAACAACTGATTTTATTTTGTAAAAAGACTTCAAGGGAATATGGTACTTTGGATAAATCATTCATTCTCCAAATATTGTTTTCCTAATTAGTCATTTTTCTCCCTTTTTTTTTTGTACTTTTGCTGACCATGGACTTTGTGAATACTGTTCTTTATCACTTGTATAGACCTGATAACACTTAAAATTTCATGTTTGGTACTGATAAACACAGACCTATTGGCATCTGATTATCAGCTTCTAATGGTAGGGGGACTTAAATAGTTATGGATTTGTTTGTCTTGGACCTAACATCCCCTTTTTCATCATGTTAGACATTCATAATCTTTACTTTTCGTCCTCTCTCATAAACTCTTTGCCTCTTTCCAGTTTTATGTTTTTAAATTTTTATGACATCTTATTTTTTCTATTCAATATATTTTTTTCCCTCTGGCTAGCTATTTGATCCACCCATCACTGAGAGAGATGTGGGTGTCAAATGGAAGTCCTATTTTCACATTCTGTTTTCCCTTTCACTTTCCCCCAACTTTTTGCTCAATTTTTGTCTTCTTGCACTCTTCACCATCTATAACAGTATTTGCATTCTTTCCAATGAGTCCCCCCTTCTTCTGATTCCAGCTAAATTTACTGCTACCCTGTAAACTTTTTTTCATCTATCTCTAAGCTGTCTTCTTTTAATTATGGCCTTCATTTAAAGATCAAGAGCTTTAGGATCAAAAGCTTTTATCATTGTTGTTCGTACTTCACAACTTCTAAATTTTTCAAGGACTTACATTAACTTGAACCACTTCTTTAAGACTGCAGTGTTTAATTTTCTTTTAGATTGACAACATTTCTTTTCCTCTGTCATGAATGGAATCTATTTTTCCCCCCTAGATCAAGACAGACATATACGCAATACTTGCATAGTGATATTGTTAACAAGACTCCCCTAAAATTGTACAACTCTTCCACAAACAGGCCACCTGTTTCTTTGTCCTAGCATCCAATATCTATGTTCTTTATTTTAATATCTCTTTTATGTCCCATTATATGGATATGAATATGTGAATCAATTGACTTGTATAACTAAAGGGTAAAGAGAAAAAAAGAATGCCTTAATAGAAAGAGTACTGTTGTGCCTTGTTAATCCGGATGGCTATGTAACATCCAAGTTCAATCTTCCAGATAGATGAAACATCCAGATAACTGAAATTGCTTCTCTACAAGCTTTGCTCTTTAAAACCAATACACATAAGGCTATTCAATTCTCTGACTAAACTGCAAAGTCACTGATGTATAATCTTATAATTTTATAGAGAGAGATATTTGAATGGGCAACTTTTTGATATCATTAAATAATAATAATGCTTTCTTTGTTTAAATGTTGCAACATAGCAGAAAAAAATACATAACTTGTGTAAGCAGGTTATGAAATTTTTTCTGCAGTGATTTATATATATGATCACTCAATTTACCCTCCCTGGGAGTGGGATCGACACAAATTTCAGGGAGAAGATTTTTAAAAAAATATTTTCATGAGTGAGATTAAGCACATGTGAATATACAAAAAATCCCATCTCACGAGTGAAATTATAAATTCCATATACAACTACAAAATATTGAATTTTCTGTTTATTACAGGTACATTTTCTTTGATTTTCCCTTTGTCTCTGTCTTATTTTAACATGTACAGTATCTAAGCTATGACATCACTGTTGAGCAGTTGAGATGTCATAGCTTAGTGATTGTGAGTTTGAAAACATTGTAAACACTGATTTTTAAAAAAACAAATAGTCTCTGTAAGGAGGGTTTATTTACTATCTTTAACTTATAAAAGGCAAGGGAGTATTTTTTACAATACTCTTTGTGAATGGATGGAAAATTTCTAATTTTGCTGTAGTAAATATTCTTTCACATTGTGACAAAATATTACTTTGATATTCTTTCACAATGTGACAAACTATCACTTTTATTCAATAAATGTATTAGTATTTCACTGTTGAAAATGTAATACTATTATTTACACTACAAAACCAAGTAAACCAGGCATCCTGAGGGTCCAAACCCAGGACCTTCAGACACAATTTTCACCTACTCAGTACAGGGATAGTTGCTGACTGTAATCAATGTTAATTAATGGTTTGCCTGCTGGAGGTCCATGAGTAAAAAGGGTTTTTAAAAGTCCATTATATTTTCAATACATAACCACCAACTTAATCCCACACTACTGAGGCCTAAAACCTGGATCTATGAGATACAATATTCAAAATTTTAGTAGAGGACTAGTAGCTGTTTATTGTAATCTATGAGATGCAAACAGTTTGCCTGCAAGATGTCCAAGAATAATAAGTAAATAAGATTTTCAAAGATGTAATGCACTTTCAGTATATATGACCAATTATAGCTCCAACCTGGTTAGGGCCTGAACTTTTCATCCAAGGGTCAAGAATCAAAATTTTGGTAGAGGGCGAGCTGATCATTATCGTGCAAGCAGTTCTGAGATCTGCTAAATTTTCTTGGGGAAAAGAAAACTTTGAAGATACATGCATGTAAATTATGCATGCATGTATCATACCCTAGATGGGTAGAGAGGATCAGAGACTTCAAAATTGTGGCTTCCTTCATCCACAGAGGTTATACATACCAAAATTGGTTGAAAATGGTTCAACCATTTAACAGAAGAAGCCAAAAATATTCAAATTAAAGTTTACAAGAATGAACAGATAGCAAAGGTCACCTTTGTTTATACTCAGGTGACTCCAAAATGCAGTTCTATGATAATATTTTCTTCTACTGAAGTAAAAAAAACTTAAAGTACATTGTATAAATTTAAAATACTTACATGTGCAATACAAACAAATCTGCTACATTATCAATTGCTTTTTGATAAAATAATACTTCAATTATACAAGTACAAAAACATATTCTGAATCACAGTAGATCAAATCTTTACAAAAAGACATTATAAAAATGAAATCAGTGCATCAAATCTATCACTTAATGTAAAGTACTTTTGGAGTGGTCTGTTTCCTTAAAGGATACCAATAAATATTAGATGAAATGTAAATATTGTTTACATGTGTACATGTAATGCCATTCACATAAAGTGTGGTTTGAAGTTCAAATATCACGAAATGAATCTCTTTGTAAGATTAAAAACAATGACTTAAATTGTGTCGATGATTATACTGAAACAGGAAGTGAACCTGCATCTATCCAATATCAGCTCCATGTTCACATATAGCTGCAATAATCTAGCCCTCTCAGATTTTTTTTAATCTGATATTTTCAGGAGAGGACTACACCTCTCCAAAAAAAAAAAAAAAAAAAAAAAAAATCGGAGAGGAGCTGGTTCACATACAGCACCAATTCAAAAGAAGTGTATATAATTAGGTTTGCATTTCCAACTTTTCATTCTTAATATTTGTGTCTTTGAAAAATAACTGTGCTTGTTTTAAATTTGCTGTTGGCATTATTTTTATATTACTGATAAATTCTCATTTATTTATTAAAATTATATATGTAGTATCATAAAAATTTTGAAGTTACAAATGATTAGCTGAGTAATTTACCAGATATACACTTGTAGCTTAATTTTCTCTTATGTCATAATTTGTTCTAATAGATTATCTAATCTTTACTTTGCAGACTGATTTGTATAAAAAAAATTTAGATTCATGTTAAACAGGTATTTATTTCCTACATTCTACCAGTACTACAAACATATATTACTAATCATACCTATCATAGGTATAATAATTATAATGGATATACAATAATTAAATATGATCATGCAATCATATGGAAAATCTAGGTTACTTGCATTGTAGAATTCAAAACCTTATTCAACATCTGCAACCTTAGCACATAATCCATTGCAGAATTATATTTGGAGAGAGTTCCTATGACCAGCGTTCATAAGGAAGTCCAAATACCGCAGAGACACTATAATATAACATACATTGGATAACAACAAAATACTTTAGCTTTAACTTTCTATGAAAGTTACATTTATTTCTGAACCTTTACAAACTGGTTAGTACTTTGATCTTTATCTCATTGTTAATGCCCTAAAATGTTAAGAGAAATATATATATTTTCAAGATGCACTTTCTTGATTTGATTTGAACTTATTTTATTGTAATAAATATATATACAATGGGATTGGGCGCATTAGTTCTTAAAACTTATTTCACCCTCTCCCTTCAAGATGGATTTATAATTCTGCTTGTTTTTTTTTTTTTATTGTGCACAAGGTAATATCACCATATATACTGTGCCTTCTAAGTGGTCTTGATTGAAATGCATTGCATTAATTCTATATACCCCTCACTCATTAAAGCCTACCTTTCTAAATTGTTAAAATTCCACAATAAAGAAACACTTTGCCCAAAACGAAATTTGCATGAAGCCCAATTTAGAAGGACTACCCAATAACAGCTGTCAGGGACTGAACGCAATAGATAAATTCTATTAAGGGAAAACCCTCAAATCAAACATGTGACACAGATATGGGAATCTCTTCTGACTAAAAAATGATTTTCTGATCAGGCTCTGGGAAGATAAAACACCAAATGAATTCTAT